GTGTTTCGTTTCTGGTAGTAGAAAGGAGCCCTGGACCCGGAAACGTAAGCCGTTGAAGTGCCTGTCGTAACTACGGCGGTAGTCTTCAGGCACTCAGAAAAAAAATAAAGTCACTTTTTGCTTCCTATACTCTGCCCCCTTTTGAGAGAAAAAAGATAAGGGAAAAAGAAAAGCGATAAAAGTTATGTTTCGTTTCCACCACAAACTTTTTTGTTGATTGTGTTAGTTTTATTAGGCCGAGTGGACACCATTTCCGTTGACATTGTATGAAATGATTCTGTTTTGTCTTAACTTTTATTTAGCGTTTGTTCTTTTTTCATGGCACGGTTCGATGTGAACTACAACCACAAGGATGCAGTATATAAAAGTTAAGAGATTGTGGTTTCGACTTCAGCTTCAATTTAACTTAACTGCGTTCTTCCCAGATTATTCCCGTTCACGGATGATCGCCGATAGCACCGTTAGGGTAAAAACTGGCCGAAAGCAAGACAAAATATGAGCATAAATGGTGCAGTGGATAACACGTGAATCCCCGGAAAGCGTAATCGTGGCTTCGATGACCACCTGAGGTTTCGAGTTCTGCTCATACCTCCGCGTCCTTGTGATTCTACTCTCTCGAAAACAAAGTGGGAGGGGAGTGGGAAGGAAGGAGGTGCTAAAAGCAAGCAAGCGGCTGCCTTTTTCTTTGGAAACGAACATTCGTGAGAAAAACCGAATGAATGATTGAGTTACCAATGCACTTATAGAATATTTGAAGTCTAAGTGTATTTTTGTCTCCCAACTAATAAACTAAACTACTTAGTCGAGCTAAAATATTTCGATGCGTTTCTTACAATCAGATTCCCTCCTTTATTATTTCTAACTGAAAATTTTCACTGCATGAAATTCGAAGCGGACTTCAAATTTCTATTAAGAGAGCCCATTATTGATGTTATATCTCTTATTACACTTATCAACAGCGCCAAGATTCTGTAATAACCTTGGAAGTGATTCTTCATTTTTTGTATTCTTGATGAGCCGACATAGATAGTACAGGAGGCGCTGTGGTTAGAGGTGCGCTGGAATACACTGCGCTGGTCCTTGGTTCGTCTCCGAACCGAAGCAAGCCTTTCATCTCTTCGGATTGACAAATTGGTAGCAAACGCATCAGGAAAGGCTTCATAACGGCTTACAACTGCTGTGATGAAGGCCTGTGAACGCTTTGCTAGAGGTGTTCTAAGATTCTAGGAAGAAAAGCAAAATCCTCAAGCAGTCGTCGAACGCACACGCCATTGTGGCGATCATATCAGATGACGGAGGAAAGAAGTCCTGACATCGGCACGAAATACGATATAAATAAGGCAGTTTAAATATTTTTGTGGGCGAACCCATAGCTAAACAAATGAGAATCTATATTTAACGTATTATTTACTGCCTATTCTTTTTAACGGCAGGGTATACATTGTGAAATATAGCTTCAATGATGCTTAGATATTTGCTAAACTCCGGACCGTAGGTGTGTGCGGTGGGGAACATACACCTGCGGTCCAGAGTTTTGCAGATATCTCAGCATCAATATGTATTCTTTCTTGATAAGCTTGCACGAGGTTGATAAATATATTTATTTTCGGCTAACGTTTCGACGTCTTCGTCTTCCTCAGAGCCGGTGATCCGAGTCGATGGTCCATGCTTGTTGTTCGCCTCGACGTTACGTCTTCGCCTTCCTGTCGAGCCAGATCTTCCTCAGCGAGAGCTCAACGTCGAAACGTTAGCCGAAAATAAATATATTTATCAACCGTATTACTACGCTTTGTGCTAGCTGATAATACACCGACCTCTGCACGATGTGCGTAATGATGTATGCCCGGAAGAAATACAAGTTGTTACTACCGGACATTGTCATTATATATCAACCATCAGCATCGTGTATAAAAGGGCATCACTGAGTGAGGATGCCTCATTCGAGAAGATGGCTCGCTGAGGAAGATCTGGCTCGACAGGAAGGCGAAGACGCAACGTCGAGGCGAACAACAAGCATGGACCATCGACTCGGATCACCGGCTCTGAGGAAGACGAAGACGTCGAAACGTTAGCCGAAAATAAATGTATTTATCAACCTCGTGCAAGCTTATCAAGAAAGAATACATATTGATTAGTCACACCGAGGTTTAGGGAAGGTCGGTTTCGAAATATCTCAGCATCATTGAGAATCTATATATTGTTAACCGTCTCACCGTCTTGCGTCAATGGCGGGTGTCGGCCTCGTCGGACCACGTGTTAGCGGGGCGCAGCCGAAATACGCATTGAAATCAGGATGCACTATCCATGAGACCGCACAAAAGCCAGAAAAAAATTCGTTCATTATCTGTGATATCTATGAGTTATGATGTTATTATCTTTCCGTATGGTATTGTTTAATAGGTGAGTTGGGTTTCTGTGTCTGTTAGATGTTTTTTGTACCCACTGATTCCATTCCATCATCATAAACAGTTTTTTGCAAGTATATCCGAATAAGGGGGTGCATGTAGCTCGGTGGTTGGAGGAACCCTGCAATACATATGAGATCGATCTCCGCGCCCGAGGCTCACCAAGCCTTCCGTCCCTCCGGGGTCGGCAAATTGTTGTCAGACTTGTCTGGGAGGACAATCGCACTGCCTCGATACATCGGCAGACCACCGTGAGTCATTGTAAAGGCCAGATATGCATTCAGTCATCTCCAACGGTTCTTAATGAAGTCGAATGCATGGCGCATCCCTCAGGGATTAATCAACGCCGAGAGCTTTATCGTTTTATATTTTATCTCAGAATAGTTACTCATCGACCAGCCCCAGTATAAAATCTATGTTCGACTAGCCATCGATTGACTACAAGAGGTCGTGAAGATGCTATGTGATCAAAGAGTACTGTATCTACGTGAAAATTTTGAAAGAAGAGCAGTTTTTGTGAGCCCTGTGCATTAAACAGTTGTTACAATGCAGAAAAGGTCAACTCTTTCACGACCGCGGCTGTTTTCGCATAGAAGGCAGCGCTCGTGAGATGCGCATTGAAATCAATACGTACCGTAATCCCAACGTACATCTTGAAATCAGTGCGCATGTTCGTGAAAGCGTTAATCTTGTGGATTCCGTGCAGAGAAAATAGCTCTGTAATTTCCCATCTTTTGTGGTTTTTCCCAGACGGTCTTTGATGGATCAGTTTCATCTACATTATGTGCACTGATAAGTCCGACACGTTTTCAGAACAAAAGGAAATCTGCCGAAAAATGTTAATTATAGGAAAATTCTGGAAGGTCGAGTTACCGTGCTTCACTAGGATCACCAGATTTTGAAGCGTTATCTATTATGTTCCCATATCTCCTCTTAATGTACGACGAGAATGATTTTTCGAAGAAAAAAAAGTAAAAGATCCGTGTTTGCCTGAAGTCGGCATTGTTCTCTGCATTAGTTAACTATTTTGCTATTGTTCTTGCCACATTCGAATCATCTTTGTTGTGTCCTACTTCCCTTGTTTATAATCAATTTTACATTAATTTTATTTTAAAATTCTATTTCAGTTTGAGAGTGCGATGGGATCAAATCTCTACGAACAACGGAAGGAAATCCTGCCTCAATGTCCAGGTGTTACATAATTTTCATTTCTTTCTAAACGACCTTACATCACATTTTGTGCGGTTATAGCACATCGAGCATTCGATTCGTTCCCTCACACTCGCAAGCCACGAGTCTTCGGATTTTGGGTTTGGGTATGATTCTTGAAACTCGCCTTGTTTTCGAAATATCTAAGAAACTTCTTGGACTTTTATTTACTACCTGTTCTTTTTTCATGGCAGTGAGCTCTGTGAGATACAGCCACAAGGATGCTAAGATATGAGCAGAACTCCCCACTTCAGTTGGGCTCCGAATAAGTGATGCCCTTTGCTTGGGCTGACATGTTACACTAACCTACCTACACTACATTGGGCTGACAACACTATACCAACCGAGGTCGTTGATCTGCCTTTCTCTTAGCCGGTTTTCTACCCTATCGGTGCCATTATCAATCCGGTATGGAATGTTCGGCCTGTTTGAATCTGTTTAGGGCGGTTAGCAACTATCTAACGTTGTTCGTTGTTCAAGCCTTGGCAGAGTCGTAATTTCTCTTGCAATCTCTGTAATCTTCGTTGTAACCTAGTTGTTATCGTTATTTCCCCGATCAGTGTAGAGTTGCTAATGATTTCCGCAAATTCATGTCTGCATCCGGTCTTAAGCTTCACTTCTGACCTGATCGGTCATTATTCCCATGGGTTTGGACGGAGAACTGAACTTTATATTTTTATCAGTTGGTTGAAATTCTCACTTAAATGTACACCACGTAATCATCTTGTAGTTGTTGAAGTGGTATCTTGGATTTCTTAGCAGACCCTTGTTCTTTGAATAAGTTTGATACGTAATTTCATGAATAACAACTGGATGATGGGGTAGTTTTTTATCCTTGATATGGGAGCGTTTGTAGCAGTTTTGAGCCGCTCGATCTCTTCGTAATTGAAATTTCATGTTGAGTTTTTTGCAAATTCGTTGAAATAAGGTAGTACGTTCAGACAGCGCGTGTGGCACAGTGTTCGGAGGGGACCTGCATCAAACACGGGATCGATCCCCGCCCCTGCCCCACTTGTCTGGGAGGATGGCAGCACTGCCTCGATACATCGGCAGACCACCACGAGTCATTGTAAAGGCCAAATATGCATTCAATCACCTCCAACGATGCTTGGTGAAGTCGGATGAATGGCGCATCTCTCAGGGATTCATCAACGACGAGAGCTTTCTCCTTTAAAGCTTTATGTTCCGTTTTGGCATGCCTTGGAATCAACGATCTAAACCAGTTGGTTGGCTGTTTTTGTTTTCCACTTACGCTTTTGAAGTGTTTAACTTGCTTTTCAGCCCGCGAAGGTTAGAAATTGTGATAGTGTTCTACTAGAGTATAGGCAAATCCAAAGCGATTCTGCATTTCTATATATTTTCTACTGAGTCCAGCGTGTTCTCTAAATGTTCTTGACCTTTTCCACTTGTTTCCAGTCTCTTAATTCGATGAGAAGTAAATTTTCTCAAATCTTAGGTGAATGGCAATGGGCGTGTCGGAGCGGTGAGTGCATCGCTCGATACGATACCTGCGACGGAATACCGCAGTGCTCAGACGGATCGGATGAGTGGAATTGTGAACGATGGAGGTAATACTCGTTACTGCTAGTCACTTCAATTTCTCGGCTTGACAACTATGCTATGATTGCATTATTAGCGAACAAAAAAACTTTCTCAAGTGTTCGCTTTTCAAGTGGACGTTGCCAAGCCATAATTTCTGTAGCAGTCAGTTATGGTATTGCATCATATGTGTCAGTTGTCTAAGAAAATGGAAGTGTAGATCAAGTAGGTATAGGCATTTATCACTTCTCCACCTGAGTATGTGCCCCGTAGCCTAGCTTTGCTTTGGTTTATTGACAAGCTTACATGAGATTACTTTGAATCTTTATTATGGCTAGTGTTTCAGTGGTTTCGCCTACATCGGAGTAATGATAATTGGAATAGGTTGTTCATTCATAATGGTAATGCATCCTAGACCAGTCAGATTATTATTAGACGGCACATAGTAGAGCAGTAAGCTCAAACGGACCGCCAATTAAGTGGCAATTGTGCTGGACTAAGAGCAATGCTTCGTGATTTATGAACATGGGTCGATCAAAAGTACTCATGTGAGTGTCGTAGATGGCGCTTCTTTTGTATGTCATTTTATATCAATGAATGTTGATAAAATCCACGTTCATGGCTTTTGTCCACGAAGTAACATTGTTCTTTACTCATGGAGCGGTTCGAGACAATTTCGGTATTGCTTAGCGATTCCACTGAAACAGCACACTGCAAGTGAATTAAACGTTAAAAAATAATTGAATTCCGCAGATTTTATATTATCCAATCCTCTTCCCATAGGAACCCTCCTAACGGTTTACCGCCTCATCATGGCTGGGAGGTGTTCTTGGGTGTCGGACTGCGATGTACAGCAGGTGGATTCATCCTCCTGGCAGGGTCTCACAAGCTGAGAAAGAGTCCTGCGTTTCCATCAGGAAGCCTAGCTAAGGGTAAACCAATACCATGCCCCATCAACGTCCTGGTATCAAAGTCACATGGTGGCAAATCTCCCCTGTTCCACGAGGGCTGCAACTGCCTGTGGTGGTGGTGAGGACTTGGGGCAGACTTTGGCCAGGCTGATCTCAGCATTCCAGGGAGCTACAATGGCTTAACCAGCAAATCTCCGAAAAACGGAGGTTATGCTGGGGCCTACCCGCACAACCAATAAGGGAGGACAGGCCGTTCAGGTATCAAGTATCAAGTGAGTATCTCATAGAAACTAGACTGGGTCTACATTTTGTGGCTATAGAAGTTACAGCAGTGCTTTTACTAATAAAGGTCAAGGTTTACGAGATTATCTAGTCTTTGACTTTTGGAATTTTGACTGAATCTAGATTCCATATGCAATTTTTCTATCAAGCGACACTTTTAATATGAAAAAGAAAAAGAAAGGAGACAAAAAGAGAAAAGCACAAAATCGCTATCTCGTATTGTGACCTCTTTGGACCCTTTTTTCCATTCATTTTGATGATTGAGCTCATTCCGCAACTCATTAAGTAGACAAAAGAACAAAAAAAGAACCAACAACGTAAGATTACATTCGAGAAGATCGTTGCGACCACGATGCACCACTTCACACCACACTGCAGTTTATCTCCGTCGTCTGCTTCAGCATTCCCGATATCCGGAGTGGTCCTCAAGAAGCAGATGTTTCGGGACAGTGTTCACAACAGCTATCAGATTTCCACATCGCCCTGTCGGAGCCATTAATGCCAAGACTTAGAGGTGGTGACGTTCGTCTTTTCGAAACCCTCCGGATTAGCCCGCCCTTTGTCACGCGCCCTTTTGTTAAAAATAGAAGAGCTCAAGTCAACCAACTAACACCCACTGCTGTCCTCATGTGACAATCAAAACCGATGGAAAAAAGACAAAGCTCTCTTCGTTGATCAACCCCTGATGGATGCGCCATGCACTCGACCTCATTAAGCATCGTTTGGACGTGATTGAATGCATATCTGGTCTTTACAATGATTCGCGGTGGCCTACCGATGTATTGAGCTAATGCTGATATCCTCCCAGACAATTCTGGCACAAATTTGCCGACCTCGGACTGATGGAGGGCATGGTGAGCTCTGGGCGCGCAGACTGAACCCACGTATGTGTTGAAAGGCTCCTCCGACCACTGCGCCACATGCGCCCTATCAAAACCGATGTAAACGCGTCTAATGATTTTATGATCACTCGCATGGGAACTTACGAATTTTTGGACTTAGCAAACTTATAAATGAGTTCTGTTGGTTCTATTGGTGTAAGCACACGCATTTAGTGTTTGGTTTCCACCTGTTTCCACCCAGAATTTGTTGAAGACGCAAAAATAAATTCAACGAAAGTCATACTTTTGGGATTTCAAACGCAAGTATGTGGACCAGAAAAGTCAGTAATGCATTCCGATTCCATTTCATAGTTCTGATTGAAATACTGCTTGCTCAGTCGTTCATCTCTTCGAAATACGAGCGTCAACCAACAAAAAGCAAGGCAAAGTGGGTGACTTATGGCCTGTGTAGAATCGGAATTTCGCACTGATAAAAAGGAAAACTTTTTTTTGTTGTCGTATGTCTACTAACATTCGCCGACACAAGCGTGTAGCTCAATTTATAAAGTTTGTTACTCAGCCGGCATGTATTTGTTTGAAGCTGGAGGTTTCGAATCAAATAGTCTTTATGTGACCACAATTATGCCGAGATATTTGCAAAACTCCGGACCACAGGCTGAGGATCGAACACGCTATTACCCCTTCCGGGTGCTAACACGTTCACCACCACGCCATGCGGATTCTTCGTTTCGCCTTTCTCTCAGCTAGTTTTCTATTATCAGTGCAATCAGCAATCAGCCGTTAACGGGATTGATCTGGTTAGCTCAAATCGGCATTCAACCCAGTTAAGCCAAGGCTGTAGTAGAAATCGTAATGCTATGATATTGAGATATTGTGAAAAATTGTAGTAGGGAGCAAATAAAAAGTTAACATTGCTATTTCGACTACAGCCTCAGGTTAAGTGGATTGAATGCCTATTTGTGTTCTCTAGATGAATCCCGTTAACGGGTGATTGCTGATGGCACTGGTAGGTAGAAAACTAGCTGAGAGATAAGAGAAATGAAGGATCCGCCAGGTGTGATCGTGAACGAGTTAGCTTCTGGAAAAGGGAATAACGTGTTCGTTCCTCACCGCAGACACTTGCAGTCTGGACTTTTGCAAGCATTCACGTAATACCTTTCCGTCAGAAATTGTTGTAGGCAGTAAATAAAATTTTAACATTGTGATTAGTTTTAATATGTTTCATTCTTTTTAACTGAATTGAAAACTCTCTCTTTCTATTATTTTACCGTACGATTTATTTTTAGATGGCAAAGCTCGAGTTTATTTGTTCCGATGTTGTTGTATAAGGGAAATTTTGGGAATATCGCAACAGCGCGTGTAGCACAGTGGTTAGAGATCTCCTGCAGTACGTAGTCTTTGGTTCAATCCCGTGCTCCCAGTTAACCAAGTCCTCCTCTATCCGGGTTCAGCAAGTTGGTAGCAGACTTGTCTGGGAGAATAGCAATATTGACTTGTTACTGATGCACGCCACTGCCAGTGCAAAGCAGAAGAGCTTTTATTGTTTTGGCAAAGATTTGTTAGACGCTAACAGTTTTTGTAGAGGCGCGTATAGCGCAGTGGTCGGAGGAGCCCTGCAATACACATGGGATTGATTCCCGCACCCCAGACTCACCAAGCTTTCCAGCTTTCTGGGTTTGGCAACTTGGTACCAGGCTTGTCTGGGAGGATACCAGCACTAGCTCGATACATCGGTAGGCCGTCGCGAGTCATTGCATTGTAAAGGCCAGATATGCATTCAGTCACCCCAACGATGCCTGATGAAGTCGAATGCATGACGTACTTCTCAGAGACTTATCAAACCGAATGCTCTTGCTTTAAATCGTAGCAGCTAGTGTACTTAGTGAGCTGAGGCTAATTTTATCAGTGGCAAAGAATGCCGCATGACTTTTGTTCGACATTATCAGCTTCTTCGCTGCCTATGTCATTTGACTGTGTGTCGACGTCTTTTGATCGTCAATGTTCGGGCGTATCTACGACTATGAGTTGTTGGACATTCTTGGAGAGATTGAATCGCTCAGGTTTGTTTTGTGTGTCCTGTGTTCAACATGTGCGACAATATGAATCATATATGAGTCATGTTGTCCCCAATACCACTTCGGATAACATAAATTTTATGAGTCAATCCCGTTTGCGAATGCTTTTTTTTGCAAGGTTTTTTCCAGCAATATCGTTTATGTTAAACCGTTGCTTTTCCTTTCAGCTGTACTATAACAGTTGTGTTTCAAAGAACAATTAAATGGATGGCATTTTCAACACACTATTTTCACAGTAAAGCAGCTTTAGGGCTCTTTAGGGCTTAGGGTTTATTTTTTAGAGAGGTCAAGTTACCCCGGTTGTCAATCCCACGTATTATTCCAGCCATGTTTCTGGATGAGAATGTTGAACTTATCGGCTTATTTTATTGTTTTGTTACTACTATCCATGGTTTAGAAACTCACTTCTGCTACGATTGTGGACAATTTTTGAAGTCATTTACAAGTTTGCGTCATAACTCGACACTTTGAAGGCTATTATTGAAGCACTGTAGGTAGTTTTGTGCTTCGGTGCTCTATTGATCTGGTGCCAATCTGACTGACACCTTCCGAGCAGTTTTGGTACTTCGCTAATTTATTTTTTTCCTTTTTTGCTTTTGCTTTTGTTTTGATTTTGCTAACATCCATAACAAATTCTCTTTTTTATTTACTGGGGCTGTGTCGTTCTGAGTGTGGTGATTTGAAGAAACTATGAGTTTGAAGCAAACTGAAATAGTTTTTTCGAATGTTAAACTGGCCCATCGTGGTTCTTTACACATTCGGTTGTAGCACTGTGGTTAGACGTGGCATGGAATAAACACTTGGTCTTTGGTCTGATCGCACGCCTCAGGTTCACCAAGCCTACCATCCTTCTGGGTTCGGTAAATTGGCACCAAACTTGTCTGGAAGGAGAACTGCACTAATTTGATGATCCGTATCGTACC